TAAGATTTTTCATCATTGTGGGAAAAATACCTAAGAGATTGATTTCTAGAAGAAAGATGCATTTACTGAGATCACAGTTACAGGGGCTGTGGCCAGTTTCATCAGGAAGGGACCGAGGGGCAGGCATGGCAATTTACATCATGGTGGCCAGGAAAGGGAGCTACAAGGATCAGGCGAGATGGACTCCAGTGATATACCCCAGGTGATCTGCTTCTCCCCAAATGGCCCCACCTCTATTTTCCAGCACATCTCAGTAATGGCATCATGTCACCAATTATGAAGGGATTGGTCCATTCATTAGGTCAGAGGCTTCATGATCATGTTATCTCTGGGAAGGCTACCACAAACACCCAGAGGCATGCTTTTTCCTAAATATTTTTTAATTAAATTGATAATCAAAATTAAACCTTCCAGTGAGATGGGTCTTCAAATCCAACTCTTCCTAACTCCAGTGAAAGGCTGCAACCTTCCACTAAATCACAACTGCTGAGAATTTTCTGCTGGGGGAGAAATGTGTTTTGCAGATCTTCACTTTGCTCATTTGAAACACATGGTAATATTTTTCTATAAAATAAGCCTGGCATAGACCTATACTACATCTGTGAAAATTGTCTGAGTAAAACACACACTCTATTATCTGTCAGTTTCAAAATGATGATCAGAGGCTCAAATATGAAAGCTGAAAATATAAAAGTTACGCCTCTCATCATTGCTGATATGCTATTGCCATAAGGTCTCCTCCCCATCCCTCATGGTGTTAATGTCCTGAAGTTTCTTCCGAAAATAAACTGAAGTTCTCAGGGGGAAATGAGGCTCATTATACTAAAGGTTCTTCCAGGATGACTGATTAGAACTTTGTATTTGGAGAGTTGGAATTCTGTAGATCTAGAGACAAATTATCTGCTACCTTAATAGCCATTTGTTGCCCACCTCTGTGACTGATCTAATATCTTTACGGTTATCACGGAAACCTTGGGGATATATCAATTTAGCAGACCACTAGCTTCTACAAACCACAAGGCTAAGAATATTGTCAGACAGTGGCTGAGACCTAAGGCAGAGATTTTTCCACTTGACTATAATCTATCTACCTGATGCGCTCACCAATATATGGGGAAAACAACCTAATTTGGAGCTTTATTTTTCTCTGTAGCTAGTTTCATGGAATCATTTCTGCCATGGACCATGCTATTTGATGTAATTTATATCCCTGTTTCCAGACCAGGATCAGTCATTCAGTTCGAGAATAAATTGTTCTTCACTTTGAAGTTAGGGCTGTGTTTTGCTTCGAAAGAGTGCATTATATTCTAAGGGCAGAGCTCTAGGCTAGGTCTCCAGAAGACACTGCAATGAGTCACTAGCCACAAACATCTTTCTCAAGTTAATCCAGGTTATTCATTTCCTCCAACCAGAACTCACATTTGGCTTCTCCTAGTCCAATATTTCCTTTCACCAACACTCATTTTTCACCAGAGACTTTACTTGAAATGTGTCTCATCTTGCATATAATTTATACTAAAGATTGCCAGAGTACTGTAGAATTTGACATAGATTTGCACGCCATGTTTCAAGAGTATTCACATATTGATAAGGTAACTCAGTAAGCTTTCTAAATCTGAAATGTAAATGCTAATGTTGAACTCTTGTTGTCAAGGAATCCTTCAACATCAATGGAATCAGAGGCCTCTATCTTTCTATGTCCTCACTTGGGTGGTTTTCAAACTCAAAGACACTTTGCATGTTGTTCACCTCTTGAAAATCTGATGAAAGGAATGATTCATTTTAGCCAAAGTGATGCAAACTGGCCTAAATTTAGGTGAAACTTTTGTCTCTTAGAACCACTAACTCTAGTCTCTAGTAAGAATCTCTTGCTTTATAAGAAACTAAAGCAACAACTTTGATCTCATTCTCCTAGGCTTGATGGATAGTTAACAATTATAAGGAGTTTCCTACAAGTGATGATTTTAGGTGATTGACTATCAGATGTTCACAAATCATAGCACGAGTCTTGGCACACACATTTCATGGTGGAGGTCTAGAACTGAACCAGAGCAATGTTGTCACTGTCCTCAAAATATTACCTGGCATGTTGGCAGGTGGTGGGGTGAACACATTCATCTACTGCTTTACTATACATATCAAATGACACTTATTAACCCTGTGCATATTCAGAACCAATATGTTCAGAATTCCTAGATGAACAAGATGGCTCCTGTGTGAACTCTATGGCCAGCCTCTTCCTTCCTCTACCATTTTGCCAGCCTTACTTCCATCTTATAAGAGCTCCAAAACAATGTATTTGTCAAGTCTATGTCAAAGATCAATTAAGACGAAATGTCCACATGTAAACAAAGACAAGGAAAAGCTCTTACCATCTCCTTATGGCCCATTGCGCTTAGAAAGATACCATGAGAGAACTGCCAAAAATAGATGGACACGAACCTGTGGAATCAAGTATGTATGAACTTAAGAAGGATAGTCTCATGAGGATAGTCTTCATGTCTTCACAAACAAGATGCAGTTTGCTGACATACCATATTTTATGTACCAGATTGCAACTGGCTTGCTTATTCTTCAGGGACAGCACTGTTGTTCTACAACTGATAGGGCACTTTCTCTCTTGCTAAACAAATGTTTCCTGGTAGCTATGTGTTCTCTACTCCAACACTGAAGTGATTTTAAGTTTGCATATATTTACAGAAAAAGAAGCAGCTGTAGATAATTTAAATAGACTCGCCAAATTAATAGGGATACAAGTATTACAATAGGAACTTGAACTCAGTCCTCTCAGCCACGCTGTTGTAGTTCAAAGAGAATCCAACAACAGAGAATCCAAAGTAAAATTTTAATGAGGAATGGAGCACAGTGGAAACAGGTCTAGAGCTGTAAGAATCACCTATCAGGTACGTGTACACACCCAGGTACATGTACATCCAGTGCATGCAAGCCATGGAAGGATGAGGGAATCTTGGTCATCTGAACACTAACATCAAAAATCCATGGTGAGTAGAGTCAAAGAGGTGGACAAAAATATTCACAGGGACCATATACACACATACACACTCCTGCATGCACTCACGCACATACACGCACATCACGCCAAATGCAATTTCCTCCAAAAGATAGTGCTAACATACCCTAACATCTATGAAAAATAATTGAAACTTTCCAAAGTTTTTGTCAACTGAGGCTATTTCATCCAAACCATCAAATACAGCAGAAATGTGACTCCTTAAATCCTGAAGGACAACATCCTCTAGAACACAGATACATGTAAGAACATCACCACTGAAGAAAAACCCAGCCTTCCCATATAGTCTTTCAATAAACAAGATCAGCAAACGCTTCCCAAGAGTAGACAACAGAGTCCTCTCCTGGGCAACAGGCCAAAAACTCTGGGGTCTGCAAAAGAGTGACCACAACTGGATGCGAGGAAGCAGAGGAGACATTTTGCTTAAGAATACAAATTGTTGTCTGGCTCTAAAACACTTTTTGTCTCTGAAGCAATAGAGAGCTGTCTGCAATCTATTCTGTTCTTCTTGCTCTGACTCCATCTCAGGGCTTCTTTTAGCCCCTGGGAAAGGGCATAACTCCACACATGCGGTTCTAACTCTATAATATATCCCTTATTTCCATAGCCCAAGACTGAGGTCATACATGACTGATTATCCCTCTTTAGTTCTTCCCGCTTCTCAGTACCACCGAGCATATCACATTTCTGTGGAAAGCAAGGGACCACTGAGAAGCTGGAGGAAATATGCACGCAAATGCTGGAGTAAAAGCCAGCCCACTAATCCTCCTAAATCTCCTTCTAGTGACAATCATAATGAAAATGTTTCTTAGAGAATGTCTCTAGAAATAGCAACTCACAAACATCTTAAAAGTTCCTTAAACCCTCCCCATGGAAAGCGATGAATTCTATTATATATGGGGCTCTTCTATCATCAAAGATGGCGGAAGGTTTAATCATAGACACTTGTTTCTCTTTCCACTTTGTAAATAAAACACAATCAATAACAATATCACGATTCCATGTCTTTTCTCGATAGAGGAGAGCTCTTAATGCCTCAGCTCCCAAGAGCACTCTAAAAGCCACATGGATCGAGCTGGAAGAGCAACCCTTTCTTTGTGTGCAATAAGTGAGTTGCTACATGTTAAATTATGATCAAAATTCTTATTAGAGACTTCATGCAACATAACAAGTGTTATCAACAGTGTGCTATTTAACCTTCAGTAATTATGTCACTTATAATCAATTGCCTTTTTAATTAGTCCTATTATTATATCCTATAGGTCGTTTCTATTACATAATTGTTTATCTTCAGTAAATGTATTTTAATAAGCAGATGTATTTATACTCCATGAAATAACAGTCTCAATTAATCTATGTTGAATACTCATTTGGGAACTTAGACTCAAACTCCTGCCAAACATTCTGCAAGCATGAGTCACGTCAAGGAGAAGAACAAGAAGTGGACAATGAGTCTTAGAAAATACGTGTTGCCAGGACTCCATTTTAACAAAGGATTGGGAAGTAGCTGTCTTTTACTGTGAAAGTTTCTGGCATTTCGGAGAAGCAAGCTCGGTTTCTGAGACAGGCTCTCCTTGTGCTTCCTGGGGGGATGAAACTATGACACCACAGCCTTTTATGCGCTACCTTTTACTTACTCTTTTGACAACCAAACTGAGCAAAACTACTGCATAACAGCAGGAAAAGAGCAGGATAGAGCCACTGTATGAAAGCCTCGGAAAGTATTGTCTTAATAGATTTAGGGGTCAAATACTAAATTGCATTTAGTTGAGAAACATTAACTAAAGGCACAAAGTTCATTTTTCGTTTCTCAAAACTATTAGACTGAGCTGTCTGGCAGGTGAGACGGATGACCCCACGAGGAGGTTTGCTGGTAAGCTGAGGATGTTTCCTCAGAGAGCCCTAGGATATTAAAAATTAACTCAAGGAGAAGATATTTTTTAACTAACAGAAAAGAAACAACCCAGTATCCAATTTTCATTTTTAATCCATCAAATCCCTGCTTTTTGTTCCACTCTGAAGAAGTTCAGAACATCGCATGATGAAGAACATTCTAGAATTACTGGTCCCCTAAAAAAGAAAGAAAAAGAAACGTTAGTGATATTCGCTTGGGGAACACACTTAATTTGATATATGTAATATGTGTGCTGATGTAGACCAGCTACATGCAGCTGATAGCAAATTTGGCCTGGGGAAGATCCCGACAAAGGATGAAGGAGCCAAAATCAACCTGCAGAGTCCTCAGATAGGAGGACACAGGAGACCTGAGGATAGTGGGTCTGGGTAGAGCAGGTCGTGGGTAGATTCTTCACATTTTAAAATGTAGAGTATCCGGAATGCACTAGTATACCAGGCTCTTGCTTTTCAACAGATTTTGAAAATCTCTAGAGCCATCTAATAACATTTTTGTGAGGTCATGCTAAGGTCAGCATAGAAAGAGACCACCTACATAGCCAAACTGGCATGACTCTCCTTGATTTTCATTGTCAAAAGGACAAAGGAACTATTTTAATGAAGTGTTTTTCAGTTGTCTTTTGTTTCACATTTTTACACAGGAAAAAGGAAAATGTTTCTTCAGCTCAAAGCGTCTGAATCATATTTCCAAGGGGACAGGCATTTTCAGGACAGTAAATACTAAAATTATAAATAACTTTCAATAAATTAAACTGTAGTCTGGCCTTTTTTTCTTCCTTGAACACATTTAGCCCGTGGAAGACTTAATTGTTCTTCAAGATAAAAACTACATTTGCTTCTAAAGTATGTAAGAAAACTGGACATCTGTCAGTTACGAAGCAGTGACGAGATAATGTGGCCCAACACTTCAGCAAGAACTCCACGGAGCCAATGAATGCAAATGTATTCTAGATTTATGCCTCATATCAACTGATTCAAATTGCAAGGCTGGACAAGCTCTTACTAGTGTGTGAAGACCACACCAGTCTTCATAAGCCCATGACATGTCATCACAAGTACAGAGAGGGATCCTGCAATCAGAGGCCAGAAAACAAGCTGCTACCTTGAGGGTTTACATAATTCTGGGGCAGGTGCTCTGTTCTGTGTCCCTTTCCCTAGTTACCTTTCTCCATGAGCACAGACCAGCCCTCCACAGAAAGAGAAGGCAATCAACAGCCCACACTGAACCATACAGAACAAATGAGTGGTGTTCAACCCTAGTTACAAAGAACAGAACCTCAACGTCTATCTGTCTTTCACAATTCCAGAAGCAGGGAATTGTAAGAGACAAGCCCTTATAGTTTGGGGGTTCTCATATAATCCTGTTCAGGGAGGAACAGTAGGGAGGGAATGACACAGATGAAAGGCAGCAGTAACCAAGGCAGAGTTAAGTCTCACTTCTCTGGGGACTTCAGGAATCAAAGGGACATATTATCAGATGGGACTTTTTTTCTCAATCTTCACATCCTATCATAACATGGCATGCAATCACTGCACCATACATAAATTAGCCATTAATGGACACTTTCAGAAGTAGAAAACAGAAATCAAGACTCGGTCTTCTGCTGGAGCCCAACTGAGTTTTACTTACTTCTGGCACTGTTTAAGGTTGTTTTTCCAAACATTTCCCCCCAGGGCTACCTTCATTTGCTATCACTCAAGTAAGAGAAGAATCGTTTATTATTCTTTAAAGACTTTGTTTTACTTTTAATTATGTAAATACATGTGTGTCTGTGTGTTGGGTGAGTGCAGGTATCTGAATTCCAGGGGTGTCATTCTGGAGTTGGCGTCACCTGATAGGGGTTCCGAGAAACAGGCTCCAGTCCTGTGCAGGAGCGGAACATGCTCTTGGTCCCCAAGGCCTCTCCAACCCCAGGGAATCCTGTCTTCATACTAAGCCTCAGAAACACTTGTAGATCCAGGCTGTGGCTTTCAAAAGGAGGCGGAACCAGAACTGTGTAATAGCTACAGAATTAAAGGGACAGGCACACTTAGTTCCTCACAGTGTTTAGAAACACAGACAGAAATAGAAAAATGATACAGGACAGCCAGATTCCCTGGCATTTTCTACAGCTCTCCTCCTCATATCTTAGATAACAGGTAACCATTCTTGGCCAGGGAGACTTGAAGAAGAATGGTTGCCTTATCTCCAGTGACACCTAAGTTCCCAAACCAGGCACTTGAATGTTTGATGAATGAATAACAAATCGCATTACAAAATATAGGACCTGGAAATGGACAAAGTCGAAAGTTTCCATTGTTCCCAGTGAGAGCTGGCTAACCTTCCCTGAGAACATAAACGAGTTTTCTCAACACCTGGCCATAATGCAGAGTGTTCACTGACAAAGGTCAGCACTGCTCGCCTGCTCTCCTTTCCCGCATTTCCTTTCTTTTCAAAATTGGGAAGTTTGTCTAAGTCTATTACTGTACAGACCACTGAGCAGATAGCCAAATGTTCTCAGGGAAAGCCAAACTTGATTTTCCTTTTAAATGAATACTGGTGTTATGGTCCTAGGTTACTTGTAATCAGAGAAAATACATTGAATTTGAACTCTTCCAGACATGTCCCATTTTCACAGTACCCAATGAGGATCTTTCTGAGCTGATATTTTCAAGTCAATAGCATCATACAAGTCCTATTACTAAAATAGTGTGATTTCAGAGACTGTAGAGCACCTTGGGACCCTCACCTGCAACACAACAGTTCACAGACCCACATTGTTTCCAAGCCTTACTATGTATCCCTTTGATTACTATTATTGACATGTATGTTTAATTCTCAGCCAAAGGCACCCCTCTCCCCACAAATGCTTTAGAGCGACTTACTCTTTGTCTATAGAAGGCCTCTATTTTGCTCGTTTATGCCCAGAGAAATGGCTGAATCAGATTGTAGTTCTCACAGAGACAGGGTATTTTACATTCTAAGATGATTAGAGTTAACCTCAGTTGTTACCTCTGCCTGGTTATTCATTTTATAACCTCCAAAATACTAAACATCTTACCTATATTTCTCCATTTAAACGTCACTGGATTGTTCACGGGTAATATAACCTGGCCTAGACTTGAGGGTGCTGAAGCTTAAATAATAGAGTAACTTGACTGGCAGAACCAGGTTTGAACACAGGCTATTTGATTGCACCCTGGGTGCTGAGAGCCATCGTATAATACTGCCTCCTGGTCAGCAGAGCAAGGATGCCTAGGTCCTTGTTCCAAGAATTGTTTCTTAGAAAGAACCCAGGTCTAGCTTCTGGTTAGACAGTCATCTTCAAGCCTCTGAGGGTTCCTCACAGAAGCCCCAGTACTCTCTGAGGAAGCCTATGGAAGTGAGTCAGGATCAGGACCCCAGTGGCCTGAAGGCCAGGATGCAGGCTAGGCTCCTCGGACAGGAAAGCCTACTGCCCTGGAAATGAATTATCCAATAATAGCGTTCTTGCTTTTGAACAGGAAAAGGACTTCAATCACCTGCCCCTGCTGAGAGAGGCCCTTTATAACTCTATTTAGCCAAATTTACATTCAGGGGGTCCTAACGTTTTCCCCCCAGGAGATTCTCTTTCAACATTTCCTTATAAGTAATTTTCTTCAAGGGAAAAAAATGCAATTAAATAGTCAAGGCCTTGAGCTACTATATAAAAAGAATTCATGTTTAAGCAAGAAATGTCTACATTTAGGCTCAGGGCTAGCACTGAAACACAACAGGTATGAATGATTACCCAATCATTCATGCTCTAACGTGTCTTCTTGCTTAATTGGAGCAACACCACCTAGGAATCACGGGGTTTTTTTCCTTGATTGATGTCATCCTTCAATCTTGAAGCAAGAAACTGGGGAAGAAGTTCTCACAACAATGTAGTATTAGTTCTTTTCACCAACCTGTCCCCAGGGGTCGCTTAGATGCAACTCTTGGAGCCCTCTCTTCCCTGAACTCCCTCCTTACTATTATATTATTGTATTCAAGGCATTGGATGAGTGAGATATTTGTGGTCCAGGGATGCTCTTGCCATTTGTGGCAGTCAGTTAGCTTTGGAACAATAGGATGCAGTGTCCGTTCCCACCCTCCTCCCTACATTCTCTCTGTTGTTGCCTGTTTTCTCTCTCCCTCCCTTCCCTGTCTCCCTCCCCCCTCCTTCTTCAGGAAACAACTTGACACTGGCATGTTCAGAATCTCAAGTAGCCCTTTCCAGAAAGTCTCTTTGAAGGCTAATCCTAGAGTGGACAATGTCCCCTCTTAGGCCTTAGAGGAGGGGGAGGTTGTGCTCTCTGTTGTAAGACTCTGTGGCATTGTTAAGCACAGAACCTCTATAGCAGCATTCCCAACTATCAGTGCAGTTGGCATAGGTGTCAGGATTATTTGGCAAGGTGTGAAGCCCATGGCAGGGAAATTTGCCTATAAAAAATGAGTATCACATAACTTCTGAGTTTTCACTCAGGGCCTATCAATGTTCCACAAACCTTCCTTGAATTGCTTCATCATCACCTTGTTTAGTACTCCTGCATTTCATCCTAAGGAAGCTGCTAATAGTAGTCAGCCCAGGTTACATAGCAAGTGGTGAAGCAAGGATTCAGAAACAAAAGCATAGATGCTGTGTTAGAACTCTGATCTGTTTGACCCCTTCCATTGACTAGTGACCTGACTCACTTACAAAGGGAACAGATGAGTCTACAAGGCTGTCTCAACCACTTAGCTACCACTTTTCTTCTTAAAATTTATGAACAGACTGTCTTACTCCACACCTCAAAATTTTCCTGCAACTTTCATTGATTTGATTTATGCACTGGTTTTATAGCATCTAGAAAAACATCTGAAGAGCCAAGAAAGAATGTTGCTTTATGTACTCAGATCTCACTGATCAGACACAAAAGTAAGTGTCAGGTAACACTCCCAGACTCTTCACAGCACCTGGAGGTAAAAAAAAAATGCTCATCGGTGTAGGATGATTCATCTCACCAGTGAGGGTGACAAAAACTTGAACTAATGGTCAAAAACAAAGACTCTATGGCAGTGGTTCTCCACCTTCCTAATGCTCAGTCCTTTAATACAGTTCCTCATGTTGTGGTGACCCCAACCATAAAAATGTTTTCATTGCTACTTCATAACTGTAATTATGCTACTGTTATGAACTGTAATGTAGCCAGGCAGTGGTGGTGCACCCCTTGATTCCCAGCACTCAGGAGGCAGAGGCAGGCAGATCTCTGAGTTTGAGGTCAACCTAATCAACAGAGTGAATACCAGGACAACCAGGGCTACATGGAGAAACCCTGTCTCGACAAATAAAAAATAATTAATAACGAATTATAACATAAATGTTTCTGTAGCTAGAGGTTTGCCAAATGGGCTGTGACTTTCAGGTTGAGAACCACTGCTTTATGGGTTAGGATGAATTTGGAGAATTCTAGAAATTACAATGAACAGTGATGGACATTAAGAGAGGAGAGGGAAAGACAGAAATGAAGAAAGCAAGAAAGGAGAGAGGAAAGAGAGAACGAAAGAAGAAATGGAACAGTTCAGTAAAGAGGGAGGGATGAAATGTAAAAAAGGAAGGAACTAGGAAAACGATCAGAAACATCTGGAGACAGCTGAAATTCTTCCAGTTCACTATTCCTCTCATCAACGGTGACACAGAGGCCCAGCATTATCTTTATAACGTATGCTATACTGTAATGGGCTTGACAAACCTGCTAGCCCATTTGTCAATACAGACAGAAAGGGAAGGCAACAGATGTAAGTGGAAGTCAGCATTGAAAAATCAATGTAAGTTCCCTAGCAATGTGAGTATCATGAAATAACCCTAACCTGCCTTGAAGATCTTAGTTAGTACATTTTTATACAGTTTTCTATTACATTTAGTCATTGGGTTACACATAATGGTTTTGGCCATTTGTGGATATCTTCAATATTGTCCAAATTACATCACAGGAGCTCTTAGGAGGGGTGAGCTACAGAATGTCTCCACAAAGAGAGAGAATGTAATTTGAAAATAAAAAACTTTTTATCTTTATCTGTCTGTCTGTATCACTGACTGTCTCAGTCTCTCTCTCAGAAATGAATGGAACCAAGGACTTTGGTGTTGACAGCCAACTGTTCTACCTCTGAGATAAATCCACATCCCTTATCTTGCAGTCTCTTGTGTCAAAAAGTTGATTAGCTTAGGGATAGAGAGATAGATCCATGGTTAAGAGCACTGACTGTTCTTTTAAAGGACCCACATTCAATCCATGTAGTAGTTCACAACTATCTATGGCTACAGTTCAGGGAATCTGGTTCCTTCCCTCCTCTTGCCTCCATATAATGCACAGATATATATGCAAGCAAAACACGCATACAGTTAAAATGAAAATAATAATTTATTGATGCATATTAACAACTTCTCCCAAGAATTAAATTAAAAACAATTATTTTAATCATGGTACTTTCATTTATATTCTTTTCCTGGAAACATGTCTCCAAATATTCATCTTCAAAACCTGTGATTCTCAGTCAACGGTAGTCTGAAAATGAGACTGATTTAGAGACTCGATGTTGACCACCAGTCTCATGAAGTCTGCATTTTATCAAGATATTTATTATGTCCACCCAAGACACTCCACAGTTCTCCCCTGTCCTTTCACTGTCTTCCAGTAGAGATCACAAATGTATGCTAATGTCTCAGTTAGGGTTTCTATTGCTGTGAAGAGACACCATGACCATAGGAATGCTTATAAAGGACAACATTGAATTGGGCCTGGCTTAACTTCAGAGGTTTAGTCCATTATTGTCATGGAGAAAGCCATGTGGTGTACAGGCAGACATGGTTCTACGTCTGGATCTGCAGGCAGCAGGAAGAACCATGAGTCCTAGCCTGGCTTGAACATTTGAGACCTCAAAGACCACTCACAGTGGCCCATGTCCTCCAACAAAGTCACACCTGC